CAGTCATGGCTTAGGGGTGGCCATCAGGTCTTTTTAATGTGTTTGAGTTGTTCAGACAATATAATGATAGCTAAATAGAAATTATGCTAATAAATATAGTTTATGACTTTTTCTCCCAGCGGTTACCTGATGCTTTGAGTTCTCACTGCTGCTGTGCCTCTCGCTGCCTCTAAGACCGGCCTACTAGGATAGACTAAAACTTCTCACGTGGCTCACGGGCACTGTCAGAAGAGTTACGGCAGTGTCTCTTTCTTCACTCTAAAACTGGACTTGCTCATGAGTTGTGTCTGAGTGTATGATTAATTGCTTTCATGGCAAAGTAGTCGGATGATAGGAAGGACTAGTGATAACTGGTCATAGTTTCGTCTTTTTTGGGACCTGCTGCAGTTTCTCAGAGATATTTCTGAGCATGTGCGAGCTACGCATGTGAGCATCTTTAAGTCTCTGGAAGGCCCTTGGGACTTTCTAAGGTTGGGCTCATGTTTAGAGGAGGCTGCCATGTTTGCTTCATAACCTAAACTCCCTCTCCATCCCTGTTTTTAAGGGATTCTGAGGACAAAACCAAGTTCCTATTGAACTCTGCTCGAGATGATTCCCAACCTTTTATAGGCCTTGCTTTTAAACTGGAGGTAAGCTGTTAATGTTTTCCTTTCTAATGCAGCAAAACCAGTAGAGGAGCAGGGCATTTCCTGCAAGAGTTCTTGGTGTATGCAAGTCCTACTTGCCCTGAGCTGTTGGTGGCTTGTCATTGATGCCTGGGAAATGCCTTTTGTTTTGGGGGAAAAGCACACATTTAAAGCTTTGTGTTTTCAGTGTATCTGTTTGTGCAAGTGATTGCTTTTTTACTTGGTCACTGTATTTATGGTAAAGCTAAACTGCAAATTTCTAGAGAACAGATGCCCAGAACATTACCTAGCTGAGTTTATTCAATTGCTTGCAAGTTTCCCATGCTACCAGCATCTGACCTCTGCAGAGGGACTTCAAAAGCTCTACTCACATTGTGTTAACCCTGAAGGAGGAAAGAAGGTATCCAGATTCATTATTTGTAATTTGACCATAAAACAGAGCGAGTCCAAACAGATGGTACTACCAAAACTTTTGTGGAACAAATTTTAAAACCAGTTTGTTTAAATTCAATTCAAATTCAACTTCTTTTAAAAAGACTGGTTTCAACCATGAAATCCACAAATGTACCAAACATTGCCGAATTTGGAAGTTTTAAAATGGGCTATGTGCCTCAAATTCTTCATGATTTTCTTAGTTAAAACCTGGAGGGTTTATTTGCTTATATCAAATACTTTCCGAGAAAAATCCTGGTTTTGTTTGAAGTTGGAAACAATGGAACGTGAGAGAGTTGGAGAGGAGAAAGTACACAGTTTTAACCAAACAAGTTGTTTGCTACCTAGAGAGTAGCAGTTCAGATTTTCATACGGAAAGTGGCTAGCCAAATTGCTAGTTAACGTATGCCTCTGTTGCGAAGGTTTAGGACTGGTAAAATGGGGAAGTAAAGAAAATTGCCAGGAGATGCCAAGTTCCATTCCAGAGCCAAGAGAAAGCTGAGACTATATTAAAAAGAGTTTCATTTACATGTTTAGTGTTTAAATTCAAAACAGAAATATTTAGTCAGTCAGTGCAGATCATGCTTTTGAGTAGTAGCAGTCTTGACTCCCAGAAGGTTTATATCTGATTTTTAATGAATTTTGATTCCAGGCTGGCCGTTTTGGGCAGTTAACTTATATTCGAGTTTATCAGGGAATGCTGAAGAAATCTGATTATATCTATAACACCAGGACTGGGAAGAGAGTGCGTGTACAAAGACTTGTCCGTATGCATTCAGACAACATGGAGGTGAGTGTGAGAGGTACAATCCACACGGATTGCCTTTTGAACCACTCTTACTAAACAAGCTTGTTGGTTTTCAACTATCTCTGTACGATGTGGTATGTCAAATTTCTGATTTTGTTGTTAATTCATACTTGCCTGTGGCACTTAATAGAGCTCTACAAGAAACTGGAATGATCTCTAGTGTATTATTTCCACTGAAGTGGAAGAATCTTTGCCCAAGAAGCATTATAAAATGGCTTTGAGGTGATAGCTAAAGAAAGCCAGCTGTGGTATTAGCCCCATATTCCGTACTTCCAGGAGAGGGGAAATAGGATTGGCAAAATATACAAAAAAATTTTCTTCCATGTGATTATTGACTACATTTCTTAAACTAAAAATTGATTCTCAAACTGCTGCAAATACTACCCTTTCCTGTTTAAGTTTCCTGAACTGGGTCAGGACTGCTTGAAACATAGTTATGTTGCTTGCTTCACATCTTTAAACTAGAATAAGTTAGCATCCAAGCTGAGGTCTCTGTTTTGTGCTTTGAATAAAGAGAGAGAAGATTTACAGAGCATTTTATCAAAGCTGGAATTTTCAAAGGAGCTTAACTTTAAGCTTTTAAACACAGTATTTATATATCTTCTTAAAACCAGGTGTAGTTTGTAATATATCTTTCGGTGTTACCTAAATAGTAAACTTTTCTTTCTTAAGGATGTGAATGAAGTTTATGCAGGAGACATATGTGCATTGTTTGGAATTGATTGTGCTAGTGGGGATACGTTCACTGATAAAACTAGTACTGACATTTCCATGGTGAGTACACCTTTTCATCTGTATGCCTCACGCATTGGAATTTACCAGGATTTTGTGTGAAAGTTTGTAATCATTTGTTCAGTTTAAATATTTTTTTGATGTATATGCAACTGCAAATATTTTTTGTGATTATTTGTCATACCTCAAGGAGCCTGAATATATGGAAGTATGGTATGTGTAAGAGAGACACACACCTGTTTACTACGCTTGACATCAAATATATTACTTCAGCGTTAGCAAACTGTTCTGGGCTGTTAGAAGTGGATGCTGTTACCCCAAAATATTAACCTATGTATTTGTGTATATATATATATTTAAATACATGAGTTTTATTTATATACACATTTACAAAATCCAATAGGAAGCAGAGTCTTCTAACTAGTGTGAAATCCACACAGAGATCAACTTGCACCTAGGCAACAGTGTTGGAAATAATGTGGTTGGCAGTACAGTATGCATTACGTTACAGCCTTGTAGTAATCCTCAGGAGAGTTACATAATTTTGTTATGCTATGATATTAGACACAAGCTAGATAGGTAAAACAGTCATCCCTGTTTGTAACCCTGAGTTCTTGTGACCAAACTTTTCTGGAGAAATCACATCACCAGGTGTAGTGGAACTCGACTGTATGATCTCTTCCTTTATGGCTGTTGCAGGAATCAATTCACATCCCTGATCCCGTCATTTCAGTAGCTATGAAGCCTTCCGACAAGGTAGGAGCCTATGAATCAACTTTTTTCTGACTGAGTTAGCTTTCCTCTCCTGCTTTTATAATTTTATGCAGGTTAGCAGTTAAATATGGAACCACAGACTAAAATGAGCAGTATTTTAAAATGTTGTATCCAAAGTATTTAAGAAGATATCGTTCAGATAACTCGGCATGTGACTGCGTTAGATGGTATCACTTAGCCATAAAGAAAATGCATGTCTTTGACCTGGGTAAAAGTGGACTTGACGTAACGGGAGGGATAAATATAGTTAAAAATGTATGGCTGTGTTTTGGAAAATAACCTCATGAGAGTAGAAGTGCTAAGCAGTTGATAGGAAAATTTGAGGCCTTTTTGTTGTGTGACTTCTGGATGTTGAGTTAATGTTTTCTTGTGTGTGTAATTGTTTTTCAGAATGACTTCGATAAATTTTCAAAAGGT